CATCTGACACTATTCTGCTGTTGCTCATAAGGTTTTCAGTGGCTAACCATTCAGAAGTGCTCTGCCTCTCCTTCCAATATATATATATATATATATATATATATATATATATATATAGTTAAGTGCCGTTGAGTCAGTTCTGACTCATAGCAAACCTATACAGGGTTTCCAAGGCTTTTAAATTATCATGGGAGCAGAAAGCCTTGTCTTTCTTCCGCACAGCAGCTGTCAGATTGTAACCTCTGACCTTGTGGTTTGCAGTCCAGTGCTTATCATATGAAGCTACCACACTTCCCTACCTTTTTTTTTAATTATACAATTACATTTTGACTTTACTGATATATCTATTTCACTTTTATAGAATTATTTTACCTATTCTAATATTTCAGCTATCTCTTCATCCTTCAAAATGGAGAAGCAGAAATGTGTTAAGGAGCTCATTCTAAGGAGGTGCCTTACCCTCTAAATGGGGTGTTAGTAGCCTCTGGCCTCATTTAACCCCTTGTTTGTCATCAAGGATGGGATCTGATCTCTGCTCTAACACATTTTCCCCCCTTGCCTCTAAAGTCAGCTTTCTGTGAAATGCTGACAGTGTCCCATCCACCCTCAACCATTGCTCCTCAAAACTCCCAATAAGAAGAGTCTGAAACTGCCACCTGCGTTGGGATCACAACAGGCAGCTCACGATGAGTGGGGAAACGATAAGGGTCTTACACAAAAACAGCAAAACAAACAGACAACAGGAACTTGTACACAAATGTTATAGCCACTCTACTTGTAATTGCCAGTAACTGGCAGGAACCAACACGAGACTAGAGGAACAAACTGTGGTCCACTCATACCGTGGAGCATTCAGTGATCAAAAGAAATAAGCTATCAAGCTCCCAAAAGATGAGGAATCTTGGATGCAAACTGCTGAGTGAAAGAGGCCAATCAGTGTGAAATGCCTTTGTGCTGTATTGTATAATTCCAATTCTAAGATATTCTGGAACTAGTAAAACTAGAGAGTCAGTTAAAAAATCATTTTTAGGGCAATACAACCTCTATGCCACTATAATGGTGGATGCATAACATTATCAATTTCTTAATACCCACATAACTGTAAACACAAAAAGTGAACCCAAATGTCATCTATGAACTTTAGTTAATAATCAATCAATACTGGTTTATCAGTTGTAATAAATGTACCACAGAAATGCAGGATGATAGTTACAGAGGAAACCGTGGGCAGGGGAAGAAGGCATAGATAGCAATTCTTTGAAAGAAAGACCAGCAGGAACAAACAAACAAACAAAAACAGCAGTCCAATTAAGGCAAGTGGTCAGGTTCCCTCAAGGCAAACCCCCTTTCAAGACTGAAACTCAAATGGAATACACTAGCAGACATATGGTCCTGCTGCTGACCACGTTGGTCACCAGTAAGGGGAAGTGGGGGAAAAACAGCATTGCAGTTGTGAGCTAAATCCGACCACATTCAATAGACTCCTGTTAACCTGGATTGAGACCTGGTTAAACAGCAGTATGACAAGACCTGGGGACTCCTGGGCCCAGGGACAGGGACATGGCCCCAGAGAACTAGAATGGAGTATGAAACATCCAGCTGATATAAAGAGAAGGGAGATGCACAAGAACACCCACACTTGCAGATAGTACCCATTTGACCTGGCATCAATGGCTGGATGATCAGAACATGACTAGAGGAAGAGGAAATTAAAAAAAAAAAAGATCATGTGATTTTATATTTCTAACACTGAAAGT